CGGTTTTCGAATTATGTTTTCTATTGCGTGACAGTGCAAGCCAAGAATTGTATTTACAAATTTTCAACCCAAAAAATTTTATATTCTTTTCAAAATCTTAGCCTCGGATTTTAAATTTTGGCAAATTTTAGCCTCTATATTCTTATAAAATATTTTACGTAATACACTGTAATATTATGTACTGCAAACGTACAATGGTGCTGGGGTCCAATCTCCTAACACACCTCAAGGAAACCTTGTCAGTTTATGACTGACGTTTTGAATATTACACATTAAGACGTCGGCTCTAAAGTGACTTTAGGGAAGGAAAAAAGGAATGTGTTGTTCATTCGTGACGCAGGAAGATTGCGTGACGCAAGAAGATTGCACCTGTTGTCGTATCATGATCAGCAAAGTTGTCGAAGCAACAAGGTTTCAATCGCCAGGTGAAAGCCTATATCAGAATCTTCAAAGGCTTCAAAGGTAGGCTTCTTGGTCGGTTTTTAATCGTTGCTGTCTATTTTTGCTGTGTTTCTTTTTTTTTTTCTCGTTGTGACGACAAGCTTTTGTGCCCGCTAAGTTTGCTCGTTTTACTCAGCTGTTTTGTGCCTTACGCATGGCGCATAAAGGGCTGAACAAGTCCGAACAATATTACGGTAAGAGAACATCATTATAGTTATTTGTTTTCAAATAGACAGGAAAAATCAGTTAAATAAAATCCCTCTAGTACTCAGATCACAGACTATATAAACCCTCTGGTATTCGCATACTCCGATATGTAAGCGTGCACATATAAAATTCACATATTATAGAGCCTCGCGATGTCTGTGTGGTTTGCAGCTGTGGTTCGTTGTCGTGAAGTTACCAATATTTTTGTATTAGTTACCGGTTACCAATTTTAGAATTTCAGTCACCGGTTATCGATTTCCCGTTTAGAGTATTAACAACAGTTTTTTTTCCGTCCAAGCCATCAAAATATCTATATGAAGGAAAGTGTTTCATTATTGCTTCATACAGAAACAACATATTAACTGACTAGGACAAAAGACAACGATAAAATAATAAACTTCTTCGAGTATTTGACTTTCAGCCAACGGGTGGGAAGTCTGAAGTTGTAACTTCGGGAAAAATCATTTCAGTGGGTGCTGACCGTTTGTCAAAATAAACCGATCGGGATTATCGCTGAATAATGTAAGGTGTTTCCAAAATCAGCAAACCAACCGAACAAGATGGCGCTTGCCATTGACAATCAATTTGGCTGATGAGAGGCTGGAAACTGAAAAATTTAGTCAGAATGGAAAGGGAATTGCCATTTTTAAAGAGTTATAACATGTTTGAAATGCATCGCTATGAAACAGAACTATCCGAATCAAATACGCTTGCTGAAGCTACAGTATGGTATAATTTTGATACGTAATAAATGCATCACTGCTTTTGCGGTGGTCATTCTCATACTTGCGATGGAAAATCGGTAACGGGTACGTAACTGAAATTCTAAAATCATGATATTCGAACTTAATCGGTAACGCGGAAAACCTTCACAGATCTCTGAAGGGAAGTTCAATCTATGCTGATGTATTTTCAGTTTTGCTTTCACAAAAGAAGTTCTGTCCTCCGGTACACGATAACCGATACAAAAACTGACCAATCAGTAGCCACACAAAGGGTCGTAAAGAAAGGTAGTGCAATGGTTATTCCCTCGTGTACTGATACAAGAGAACACATCACAAAAATATTCGCCTGCGAGGTCTTTCGACAAAGTCACGACGGCGTGTTTTAAAACTCTGTAGAGGTGGCGAAATGAGGAAATATCACTACGGTTAGCCTTAAGCCTAATTAGCGCTTACGTCAAGCTATATAGTGCTCCGGTTAGCCCACAGAGAGCTCCAGTTATAGCCGAAATATCGCTCCTGTTAGCCTGTTTATTCATCTTTGCTATTTCGAGTTTTTAACACGCTCAAGACCGAAATAACACGGATGCCGTTTATGTTAAGTTTATGACATGCATTTCTCAAACCGGTTCTTCTCAGAGTGAAATATTCACAGGAATGCATTTTTTTAGAAGCTTTCAACAGAAAAACAAAACCAATAGACAATATATATAGAAAAATCCTTTGTCTCGAAACATTAAAAGCACGCAAGACTTAATAGGTATCAGGTAAGTATTGTTATTCAAATGTAGGCGTCATCTAGGCGGAGTGTCTGTTGAGTGGACTACAGTTATAAAGTTAATATTATTCACTGTCAAAAAAGTTTGGTGAATTTGCATATGGTTCATCATATCTCTTTCATCGCTTACCAGAGCCAAAATTCATTCAAGTGTTTGTTTCACATCCCCAAGAAGTGTCATCGATTTTTCTGCTGTATAAAACTCCCACTGCCATAAAAACAGCTTGTGTAAACACACGGTAAGTGACGCTTTTATCATCGACACACCCCCTAATGAGGGCGCCTAGTTCACACTAGCGACATAACGGCATAAGAAGGACGGATCGAGGGTAATATTATTTTATTAAATGGCACAGTTTTTTCTGAGGGTTTTTTTTTTTTAAACTCTTTGCGGTAGGTTCGATTTCCGCCGCTCAGTCATCATCCTCCCCGATTTGGCTAAATACCCGCTAACATGATCGCACTTCATATCACAAACGTCTTTGCTACGGCGAGAAGGGCAATTTATGTAGTCTGCTCGATTCAGATATCTTAGTTGGGTCCCATGTCGAGGATCAATATCTCACAGACCTGATTATTTATCTTTAACCCAAGTTTTGTAACATTCAAAGCCCGGTTTCCAATCTGTACCCGCTCTTTGCGGACAACGGGGTATTTGCCACTGTCGCCACTGGCCGAGAGTCAGACGCTCCTTCATAAAACAAAGCTTGTTTTCTAGTTCCAAACAAGAGATTATGATCTCTAGCTCCAAGCTGTTTCATATCTTATTTTACTAAATTCTCTGATATTCATAACTATACCACAAGGCAGCGTTTAAGGCTTTTTGTTTTTTTTACCAAGAGTAAAGTTTGATTTTGGAAGAAGGAAATTTCTTTCTAGTGGCGCAGAACTTTTTAATGAACTTCCTGAAAATATTGTAAACGCTGCAAACATGCAGACCTTCTGCCGCAGAACAAAAACCTTTTTATTCACATCATGAGTTTTTAGAACATTTAAATTGTAAGTTTTAGTTTTATAATGTATTCTTTTAGATTCTTAGATTTTTGTTGTATAATAGACCAATTTCGATATATCAAAATTCAGCTAACACAATAGACCTCAGTACAAGACTCTGGGGAATAAACCCACAAATTCTGTAGTTATTCCCCAGAGCCTCGTGCTGAGTTCTATTGTTTTAGGCTGAATTTTAATATATCGAAATTGGTCTATTTTAAAAACTGATCTTTTCTGTTATGTCAATCAGTCACATTGCGACATAAGCTATTATGTTGACCGTTATGTCGCCAGTGTGAACCAGACCTGAGGCCTGGTTCATACTAGCTATTATATTTAGCGCTATTTGTCGCTAGTCTCTAAACAGTCATTCATCCACATTCACTCGCGCACGCACGCGCGCGCGCGGACGCACTCGCTCGCTCGCTCTTCCACACCTGCCGGTCCTTTGCCTTGACTTGAATGCCGCTTCAGGCCTTTCCATCTGTCTCATTTCTATCTCCCGTGGTCCCTCCTTCGTTTCCCGTCCGCACAACGCCGTAGAAATTTGGAAGGCAGCTTTATTTCTACAGTTAAACCTACCGTACGTCCACACTAATCCGTCACGAAAACGGAGCTTTTCGAAAACGCTCTTCAAACTGGAGGAATTTGAAAACGCCGCCTTTGTGTTTTAAGTGTGTACGCAGAAAACATTTTGAAAACGAAACTTTTCGAAAACGCTGACATCACGATAATATTGTGAGATCCCTGTACGAGTCTTCCTCACTGACACAAATCCAAAAGGTCCGGTGACGTTTGCGTTTTCAAATTTATCCGGCGTAATACCACGGATGGAAAACATATGATGCGTTTGTGAAAACGTCGTGTTCAAATTTCTTCGGCGTAGTGTGAACGCGGTCCTAATCTATCCTTTACTAATCCTAAACCGCTATTGGTTTTGCAATGAGCTCATTGTTGTTCTAGGGTATTCCATTGTACAGTGGAATCCCGATTTTTCGAACCTCCAAGGGAAAGAAAAATTGGTTCGAAAAATCGGAGAGTTCAAGAAATCGGGGGTAAAATGACAGTGTTCGACTTGGGAGAGGGAACGACTTGTGTTTCGAATTATCGGGAAGTTCGAAAAAATGAAGGTTCGAGAAATCGAGATTCCACTGTATATATAGGCACAACAGTTATTCTGCTCAGGAAGAATTTTAAAACTACTTAGAACTTCAGGTAGTTCTCACTTCAAAGTGTTACACGGCAGTAGAGCAACAGGTGGTTACCATGGTTTTTGGATTTCTCCAGACTCCTTACTGTTGCCGGGCTTTTCCATGCTTACGAATATTGACCAACACTCCCCTCGCAAAATGTCTTGCGAACAGGCTCTCAGTGAGCGCGAAATAAAAAATAAAAAAGAATTCGGCGAACGAAGCGAGGGACGCTTCCTTACCTCGTCCCGCTCCGCCCTGATCGCTTCGCTCCCCGAATCCTTCAGTTTCGCTCCGTCCTCGCCGACAGCCTGTTCGCAGGCTACTCCCAAACTTAAATGCTGCGATGTCTTTAATGCATTTAAGTTCTGGGATCAGTCTGACAGTGATAAACAAATAAACTGGATGAATCCGGATGATACTGAGATTTGCAGGTCATTTTTTAATTGATCATGAGTTGCCCTGGGGGTTAGGTAAACCTCTTAAGCATATATAAACCAGCGCCCCTATCACTTTAATGGAAAGGACCGCAACGGAAACAAGTGTTACACTGGACGTTCACGAGGCCAAGGCAGTGAGAAGGTGTTCATGATCAGTCAACGTTCTTTGTTTGGTATCAAGTTAGTGGACATGGTAGAAATTTACCCTGTGCTTTTTCTTGCAGTATAACTCGGCTGCGAATCTGGGCCGCGTCTAGTTGAATGGCTTGAATTGGGAAACTCGACCGTTCCATGTTTTGGATTTTTGGTAAGAGAGTTTTTTCCCTCCCTCGCCAGCACATTATTAAGGCGGGGGTTCACCTAAAAACACACCATTTTTTTCAAACTTTTCTCCTGGCTAAGATTTAATTCCAAACCATGGTAAAGTCATACATTTTTAGAAAGCTTAAAGACCAAAGATTATAAAATATATATATTTTTGTACCCTAGAACTGTATTGTAATGTGACACCAGCTGATTACATCTGCCACCTGCTGGGGAATGCCAGGGCTTTCTTGAGAAAAGATAACTCCCACATGAACTGATCAAAAGGAATAATTTTAACATTTTTTAAAAAGAAGACAAATAGCTTACAGTTTTAAGTAGAGATTTTTTGAAAAGTTAAAAAAACATGAAATGGTGACCAGTCAAATCTGATACAGAAAATCCAACTTACGTTTCAATGCATAACTTCGACGAAATGCACTGGATGGAAAGTTCTATGCTTAAATTAAAACACAAAATGTACTCAGAACAACAAATCCTGAGAATTTCAGCTCAATTGGACAAATCCTTCTCAAAATATCTTTTCTCAAAGGCAAAAATAAATCGTTTTGAGAAAACAAGCTTGGAACTTACAGTATCAGAAATTCTCAAAAATTCCGTTAAAAATAAAACTTCGAATTCTTTTTACAGAATTTTAGGTTAACCCCCGCCTTAAGTTCGTTCCGCCAGCATTAGAACTAGTATTTGCAAACATAAGCCCTGCCTCTTGTTCTGTCCATGTTACCCTTCCGGTCGTTATTTTATTATTAATAATTTATTCGAGTTCAGGTAGCACCCAGTTCCCTCAGCATTGGTAGGCCTTTAGTTTCGTTTATATATTCGTGTTGTTTTGTTTTTCTTCGCTTCTTAACCTTACTTTAATCTGTTTTTAGTAATTTATGTACTTTTTAAATGCGAGAATTTGCGAGAAGCGCGAGACGTTCTCTCTCTAAGACGTTCAGAGGTCATTTATAAAAACAAACAAATCGGACTTCGAGACTTTCTCAGCCTTGCCAAAAAAAAAATCGAGAGTGCGAGACGCACATAACCGCTGAAAAAACGAGACTGCGAGACCCGTGAAATTCGGGTTTCGACAAAACACTGACCCCCGGTCAAATGACCCCCTACTGAGCCCCTACTGACCCCCTTAATGGGAAAATGAAAATGAAAATGAAAAAAGCCCAGAACTATCAATGGGACGGATTCAAGTTCATCAATAAATTTAGCTTACCTGAAACTTCCAAGATGGCAGACGCATTGCAGATTTCCGACCCTCATGTTTTCCTTTGACTGTTTAGTGGAGGTTTTGTTGACGGAAAATCAAGCACAGAATAAGCTTGAATATCATCAAACATTGTTTTCGTACGCATTGGAAAATGAAGCAAAGAGAAAACGCTGACAAATTAACAGGCTAGCGAAAGGCTCGTGATGGACAGCTCGTGCGAGCGACACGAACACGCGCGTAAACCTCAACTGGAAGACGAATTTCATAAGGTAGTTCCAGTCCTCTCGCCTTGTTTCGCATTTTAAGAACTGTAGTACCTGTAGTAAAAACCATTTGGAGAAGCCCGGTCGATTACTTCCTCCTTGGTGAATAAGAGGCAAATCGATGAAAAACAGTAATGCCACTTACTGTCAATAACTAAAGCCATGTGCAACGTATTTTGTACATGCGGAAGACGAGGGACCTAGGGCTACAAGGTTGCGAAAATAAACTTCCAGTTGATGCAATCGTGTGCGTGTCGCTCGCGGTTAGTCGCGTGCGTGTTAATTTGCCAGAATTTCCTCTCTATTTTCATTGCTTAATTTTCTAATGGGTAAAAATACCATACTTGATGATATTCCAACTTATTCTGTGCTCGATTTTCCGTGACAAATCCTTCAGTCAAATGAGAAGGGAGTCGGAAGTCTAAATTTATTGACGAACTTGAATCGTTCCCACTGATAGTTCTGGGCTTTTTTAATTTTCATTTTCCCGTTGATTTTGTAGGGGGTCAGTGGGGGGTCAGTAGGGGGTCAGTTGACTTGGGGTCAGTGTTTTGTCGAAACCCGTGAAATTCGACGGAAGTTTTGCGAGACCCATAGTTTTGAAGGACCATGTGTCACCCCTTGTAAGGCTCATTTACAAATAAATCGACTTCAAATACACAAATATGAAATAAAACACGAACAAAACAAAACAAACCTTCACGCAATTCGCATAAGAAATAGATTTTTAAGATCAGATTTCTCTACGGTCACCTACACCTATGCAGGATAGAAAAATTCGATTTTCTGAAACTTTGTCAGGAAGAAGGTTTTACTAACTTATTTCAAAACTGTTCCTTTGAGGTTGTTTGGATTTTTATTTCTTGTGGAGAAGGCCTTACGTATTTTGCCCCGAAGAGAGCAAAACTTGACCCCAAAATTACACTTTTTGTGAGCGCTAGCAAGCCAAAATAATAAGTGGGGCTGGGAAAGCTAACCCGTAGTACTAAAATATCATCTTTTAGCAGTTATTTAACGTCAGATCAACCTGAATTTTTAGCAAAGTTTTAAAATTATACGCTGCGATGATGTTGCGTCACGTCAAAATTTAGGTCAATTTCGTGGAACAGAAAGTCAATCTGATACATGGATTTACCTGCCCAAACTATTTTGCTGGTTAAAAGTATCCCTTAAGCTAAGTTTTTATCGCAAATCTAGATTGGGTGAAAAAAACAAAAAAATTGAGAGCGTCTCGAAGACTAGGCACTTGAGCTAATCGCCTGACATTTTGACCTTTCACGCCACGATCACTTTCTCCAACATTGATCCAGAAATGTTTGCCTGTGGGTATTATAAAAAATTGATAAAAAATGGGCTAAAATGGAACATCGCTTGCAGCTTTTATGTGAGGCATTTTCAACTATCGCCAGGTCACGTGATAACCAGTCGCGTGACTGCGTGACCAACAAACAAAGAAATGGTAACGCAGGCGCGCGACCGTGATAATCACGTGACCTGACGACACTTGAAAGTGCCTCATACACGCAACATGTAAAAGTTGCAAGCGATGTTTCCTTCCTTCCCCTCTCCCACCCCCCTCCTTCTTTTTTTTGGTTCTCGCCCCATTTTCCGTGCAGACAAAACACCGAAAATCCCGTTCCTCGGTCTTTCTTTGCTACCANATGGCGGTCTAAAAAGGCGGTCGCAAGGTTGTAACGCTAACTCGCCCCAATAAGACGCCTGCACTGCAGGCTATTTTGGCGCGTGTCAATGGTTTGGGCTGAGTGCCGAAATTTTGAGGTTCCGTGCCGTTTTTTGAGTGCGTCCAAAGCAGCTTTGAGTGGCAGATGTTGCTCATTGATTCTGTTTACGAAATGTATAACGAATTCTAACTGTTCCGTAACACATACAAGCTGTTGTTGCTGTATTTCTTTTTTTTTTTTTCAGTTAGCTGTTGTACTCCGTGGTTGCATGGCAGAACCAACGCTGGGAGTATATCTAAAGAACCTTGTTGTGTTACTTAAGAGAAAGTTCTGTTCTTCGAGACGGCGTGGCCGCAACTGTCTCAAAATTGGTGTAATATGCATTATACTTGTTGTGTTCCTTAACATCAACCTCGTTACTCCAGGTCGTTACACTGGAAATAAACCCTGGGGTCCACCTGCGAGATGCAAGAATTCCAAGGAAGATATAGACCGCCTAGTGCAGCTAACTTACAAGGTACATACCATTCTGGAACACAAAGGTATCGATTGCTGGTTGATGTACGGTTCCATATGGGGGCCACTAAGAGGTATAGAGGGTCCCCTCCCATGGGACGATGATGTCGATCTTGCAATAAATGGTGAAGGCCCATTCAGTCAAATAGCGTTTGAAGAATTTCAAGCTTTGTTCACAGTGCTTGGACTGTCAGTTGAAAGCAGGTTATGGCAGAGTTCATTGATGGTTATATCTGAAAAAGGCCAGAGCTGGCCCACGTTGGATCTCTTTGTGTATTATGATTATAATGGAATAATGGGTAGGCCTGGTGTAGAGTCAAAGTTGATGCCAATCAACTACAGACTGTATCATTCGTTTCCTTCGAGCTTGGTGCAGCCACCACTGCCCAAAGTGAAGTTCGGATTTTTCAATATCTCTATTCCGAGGAATGGAATCGAAATCATGAAACATCTGTATCCATATAACTGGTGGAAGGTGGTGAAGCCAGTGGGTTGTGAAAATTAGTTATGTAATTTTTTAAATTATTTTAACACTGATCAAACAGTGGCCACCGAAAAGCGATTAGTATTAATTATAGAACTTTGTGCTTCTCGAAAAAAAAAAAAAACACAGGTTGACATCGTAATTTACAGACTTAACACCGTATTATGCAAAATTTAGTTTCCTAGCATCGCTGCTTGATGACCATGTTTCACCGAGAATATTAGCGGCAGAGGTAAAATCCCTCTCCAGGGGAGGGGTGGGGAAGCTTGAGGACTGGTGGGGTACCATGGTCTCACAACGTTCGTGACGAGTGCTTTGACTTCTCATTTATCCACTTTTAAAAGGCACTTTTCGAGTTGCCTGTTGCCTCTGTGTCAAAACATGTCTTCGTTTGAAAACATTGATATGAAAATGTGTTCCTCATTTTCAGTATGGACGGTTTTGCAGGAGGTCTCGTTTTGAAACAGAGGCACAAGGTAACTCGTCAACAGAAATATGAAGCAATTACATAACAGTGTCTCAATGGGGTGGCGGCTTTTACGGCTGACGGTCAATATTTTGGCTTTTTTACGTCTGTTTTCCTTACGGTTAACAAAAATCTTAGAAGTTAATTACCATTATTTTAAAGGGTTAAAAATTAACTTTCATTGATTACGAAAGTTAAAAATTTAGGTAGAGAGTATTGCAAAAGATATTTAAAGTCTTAGGCCCATTCCGGGACGGAGAAAGGTATTTTTATAAGAATTGTAGATTGATATAGCTTACAAGCCACAAGACGGGTAATATATTTTTTTACTGCTAACGATTAAAAGTCTACGTTTTTTACGCCTAAATGTTTGGCTCCTGGTTTGGCCCGTTTTACGTTTTACGGTTAATCACACTGAGATCCTCACTGTAAAAAGTGTGAATATCCGCGCCACAATTAGCTAGTGACTAAAACACCACACGAGTACATCGAGTAACATACGCGTATAGACTAATTTAACATACGAGTACATAATATGTACTCGTATGTTACTCGTATGTACTCGTATGCTACTCATATGTACTCGTATGTTATTCGTATTTACTCGTATGTACTCGTATGTACTCGTATGTTAAGGGTATGTACTCGTATGTTACTCGTATGTACTCGTATGTACTCGTATGCTACTCGTATGTGCTCGTATGTTACTCGTATATACTCGTGTGGTGTACTCGTATGGTGGTCACGATCCCATAATTATAACATTCACGCCAATTCAGATTTGGTTTGCTCATGGGAAACAACGTTATAGCGCGTTATTACACGACTATAGGTTAGTTCAGGGGGCCAGTAACTAAAATCAACCAATCGGATTACGCAAGAGATTATGTTCCTGTTCTCCTGGATTACGCGGCCATTCCTGGCTGAGATATTCCATATCTACGCGCGCCCATGTATTAGCCTCTATTCAATAGCGCGATTTTGTAGTTTTTGCCATTTGTCGGCTAACTCGTTTTTGAAACTGTCCCACACAGGACAGCAATAATCGAGATATAGCGACAATAGCCGTATACAGCAATATAGCTGTAACTTCACATATATACGGCCTCAACCTTTAACGTTTGGCAGAAAGCCTCAGCGCCACGTTAGAATTATAACATATCGAACATGGGCCATTAGAAAATAAATGTTCATCTTTGGCTAGCGGCAGCCTACAGGGTTTCTGACACGCACTTACAAAGCACTGACGTGTGCACGTGGCTTCGGGGCTGCAACCTCGTTCCGAGGCAGTATTGACCCATAATCGAGGTTGCCCTACAAGACGGGATGAGTTCACGTTTTCCCTCTGTCGAACGAATCGTTTCTAATTTTGGCTCTGAGTAGTTTTGGCTGTGACAAAAGCCAATATTCTTGCGCTATTTTTAAAGCTTCAGGTATGTTAAAAATGTCTAAGTTATTTCCGCATCTGAATATTTCCAGAGGGATAGAAACCACGCATATTGCTGAAACATGGGGCAGTTTCACGGTTCATACGCTATACTTTCGCAAATCTATTGATGCCATGACTACCGGAACAGTACTGAGGTAAAAGCTGGGCAAGTTCATTTCCTCTTAGCTTTCCAATTGTTCGGTAGTTTTCTACATTCTATGCCGTTCATTTACACGAGGAAATGGTGAACCGTTTTGCCCAGCTAGAAATCCATTTTCAAGTCAAGGATTCTGACTGGAGAAACATGCATTACAGAAGAGGGGGCCCATAATAAATTCAGACAAACACATTGTTGACTGCAGTGTTCACCTTTGAGTGTTTCTGGTGAAGTTTACTGCACGGCAATACATCAACACATTATCGTGTCCTTCAAACTACTCGAAGTAAATTTAAAACAGATATTGCAAAATAATCTTTGTAAGATTTTGTTTCTAACGAGTTTCGAGTGTAAGGAAATGCTTTTTCGAATTGTTAAAATTATTTCCTACACAGATATAGCCGTGATATCTATTATCTGCCATCATCTTGAAACGACATTGCGGGAACCTATGTTTGTGTTTCGAAACCTTTTTCTTAGCATAACAAATATGACCCTGACGGCACCAAATAGTGATTGTCTCCGACTTATTTAGCTTTGATAAACAAATTTACTGACATGCAAACTGACGCAACAAACCATTTCCCCGGCTTATAAATTAAAACTATTTATTCTTTGTCCTTTCGAAGCAAGAATTTCTCCGAAAAAAAAATCTCATCTAGTCTTGTGATACCGACAGAAAGATCGACCATGAATTTTTTTTTGGCTTAAAAGCAGGGTTTACACATCACAAACACGTTCGCAATATACTGATAGTCTAAACTTGGGAGGTCGTTTCGTGTGCGTTTGTTTATTTATTACTTAAGCAGGAGTATTTCCGTCGTGAGCACCTCGTGCAATGACATTCTTCTACTGATCTGTGCACTAATAGTTTGTTGATTTTGTGGACAGCTCTTGAGATATACGCCAAGCAAAGGTAGGTTGGAAAACCAGGAATTCGGAATTCGGAATTCGGAATTTTATTTAAAAAAATAAAAAAATAAATTAAAAAAATAAGTAAAAAAAAATAAAAAAATAAATAATAATAATAATAATAGTAATAATAATAATAATAATAATAATAATAATAAATAATAATAATAATAAAGGGTGTGAGGGTTTCTTTCGTAAGGATTTACCGGAAAACACTATCGACTCTGTTGCCGTAATTGGGCGGAAAGAGAGTGACTGGTATCCATTTGTTTATGAAGATGGATCAAAGTGNTCTTCTACTGATCTGTGCACTAATAGTTTGTTGATTTTGTGGACAGCTCTTGAGATATACGCCAAGCAAAAGCATCGATCGAGCAAAAGAAAATAGCAGTATTTTGGACAGAGGGCGTGGATCAACACGAGGCATTTGGAAAGGAAATCTCGAGTGGAATGGACTTGTAACCCAGGAATGGACATAAACACAGGTCTTCCTCCATTGGACGCCAATTGACCTATAGACAGCCAACTTATGAATAAAGTTTAAGGTCTTCACACTCGGAAAATGTTACCACTGGAATTTAATAATAACCTTGAAACTGACTTGTTCGTTTACCTAGGTAGGGTAGTTATTTTCGAAACTTTCCGGTCCGTAGATTAGTGAGAACGCTTCTTGTCGCGTTGCGTTTTAGACTGTAGTGAATTTAATTCTTATCGCGCTAATCACTCAGAGTTGTTCCAGCTAGGGCTTTTATTGGGTCCTCGCATCAACTGAGGAAGGAGAAAAGCCTTACTATCTCCCCACTCCGCCTCCCCCCAGCAAATCTAAAGTCGAAGACGATTTACTTCTCTTCGTCTATTTCTACACTGGCGGTGAGAGGGAAGGAAGGGAGAACTTCCTTTATAAGTCGTGTAAGCCTGTGCAACTCCAAAGGGTATGGTACTAAATCGTTTGATTTAGTCTGAAATCGATTATAGATTTTGACCATTTTGGTGTGAATTCGGGTATGTTTGGTAGGCATGTTGTTTAGATGAAACTCAGTAGTTCTCTGCCATAAAAGCCGGAGAAATCGAAAACCCAGTCTCGGCAGCTGTTTATGCTCATGCAGGACATTCCCGGCTACCTGAGGTCATACAAGAGCGACGAGCAGTAATTTTAGCCGGATTTGAAAAAGAATATCGAGATTACGATCAGGTCTGAAATAAGGTGAGGGTTCAAGAGAAGTACGACACATCCCCACCAAAAAAACTCAGGGACCCAACCACTACCCCTCATGGGGGGATGGGGGAGGCTCTACCAGCTGACTATTGCATATTGCTTGAGGAAAATGAGGGAAGAGAATCATTTTGTTTTAGTAGAAACTTTCCCTGATCCACAACACAAAGAAAAATCATTAATTTTTCCTATTTGGAGAAGCTGTTACGCTATTTAAAGTCGTTTTTGCATTGTGCACAATTTATTTCAGATCGAGAAAAAACAAAATCCTGAAAATCACACTATCTAAGATAGAAAAAACCCACAAAACAACAACAAACCTAAAATAAACAAGAATAGAGGAACATTAAGAAAGGTCGCGAAATCAACCTGAAATCCTTGGGCAATGTTTTCAAGACCTCCAGAACGAAGCATCTACAACACGAGAGTGCGTACTATAGCAACCAGTCCACAGTCAACGACGCATGGCAGTGAACAAATCCACGAATTAGCAAAAGCTCGACCCCAATNGGTCAAACAACTGAGTAAAATACCCAGAAACACAGTCAACATCAAGCTTATTTAACACTGAAAACTCAAACTCTAGCTAGTTGGGAGTGTCAGTAAAAGACACCCTCCCCTCCCCCCTGCTTTTGACAGCTGACCCCCAGCAAGCCACCAGCAGATATCTAGTAATTGGGCCATGTGCCCAGCCTAGCCTTGACGGAGCCCCTCCTGTGTTAAGGTGGCTGGCTTAGCCTGGATTTGGGCGAAGCCCGAATCCAGGCGAAAACCTAGCGGGCATGTTTTTGCGAATTCGCTTAGATATATATAGTATTCGTGACTGTAAAAGAAGCGTTGTCTGAGTAGAGTTGACTTGTGATCAGTAACTGAATTCAGTTTTCTATTGGTTGTCTAAAGCGATTGCTTGTAGTTTAGTTTAACCCTTTGTGCTCCATTGCTAAATGTTATTACCAAAAAGTAAACATGGGCTCTTTAAAACATCGATATTAATGCAATGATGACCATGACTAAGTGAATTATCTTCAATAATATTTACAGCTCAGTTTGAATCGCGTGGTGGGAGGCGCGGTAGCTGAATATGGTTACTCCGTTAGATCCCAAACCGAGTGGCCTGGGTTCAAGTTCTGTCTGGGTTCTCCTTTGGGAAAGACATTTCACTTCCAAAACCTTCCAAAGTGCCTCTCTCTACTCCAGTGTGTGAACAGAGGTCTGGATTGGGGTGCTGTAATCTCAGATATCAGTAAAATTTACAGCAATTTCTCGATTATCACAGTTGAACTTTCAGTCAACTTCTCAGCTATGGGCAAATCGTACAGATCTATGTTAAAAGAGGCCTCATTTTTCACCTGACAATTAAAAGTTTGACCAATTCTCAGCTGTCAGTTCAACCCGATCCAGAACCTCATAAGCGAATACCAACTCATATCTGAGGCCCCGGTCCACACTACGCCGGAGGAATTTGAAAACGGAGGTTTCACTCTGAAAACGCATGAAATGTTTTCCGTCTACACTTCGCCCGAGGAACAATTACCGGTCATTTTAGATTTGTTTGAGGAAAACTCGGTCCCCGGGGAGACTCGGTCAGGCCGGGGAAATCATATGATTGTCATGACGCCATCGTTTCCGTAAAGCTCCGTTTTCCAAATGTTTTCCGTTCACACGAAAACGAAAAGCCGATGTTTTCAAATTCTCCCGGTTTGCAGAGCGTTTTACATCCTACTAAAAGAATCATTTTACTAAAATATAAAACTGAAAGGATAAACACTACAGGTCTTTCTGAAAAAGAAATGTCGACCCCTCGCCACTAAATTGATGAATGATCTAGTTCCATTCGCTTTTGTCTTTCTTATTTTTTTTTTCTCGGTTCTCTTTTTCATGTTGCTGGTTTTATTCGATAGTGACTAAAACACCACACGAGTACATACGAGTAACATACGAGTACATACGAGTACATACGAGTACATACGAGTACATACGAGTACATACGAGTACCATAAGAGTACATTCGAGTAAGATGCATCGTGACCACAATTCACGAGGGAAGTCCGTGTAGGCCTGTCATTATCTTCTGTTTTCATAGCGCTATGGTTTGTTGCGGTTCCCGAGTATGTCTGGTTACAGTTACCCGCCTAACGAATTTATAGCTCATTTTTTCAATTTTCAATATACATTCATTGATACTTTGCGAAGTGGAAAATTCATTTCAAAGAAATGTTATTGTTTCCAGCCTTTATTGAACCGTTTTTTGACTTGCACTATGGAAGGGTAAATTACCAGTGTACATAACCAATAAATTTGATCTTGATTAAAATATATATGGATTTTAAATGTACGTATGTTAAAAGAATAACCAAACTCTACAAATTTGAAAGTTTTAACCCTTCCTTGAGGAAAGGGAGAGGGGTTCAATTCATTGAACAGCACGCCACATACACTGTCCACACTCACCCCGAAGCTTTTACTAAGCTATTACTTCGAGGAAAATAATTCTATGAGAAATTTGTGCGCGCTAAATCTTGTGCAATCATCGTAATCTGCGTTTATTTGACGCGCAACGTCGCATCATATCATATCAGCGCTCAGGCTTGTTTGTGCGTGTGCGGTGAGCGTATGCGGACGCATGTATGTAGCACACGCGCAGGGGTGTGGTACGCGCACATGGGTGGCACTTGCGCGCGTTCGCGTGTGTGTGCAAGGCATGTTCCGCGCACATGCAAAAGTGAAATGTAAAGAGAAAAATGGTACAGTTCATGTTTATCACCCTCCTGCCATCGTATGTTGCTGCTAGGTATTCGTATGTAACCAATTTATTCGTATATAACCTGTATATTACCGTATGTCTGTATGTACTCGTATGTTACTCGTATATGTACTTGTATGTTGCTCGAATGTACTCGTATGTTACTCATATGCAATCGCATGTTACTCGTATGTACTCGTATGTTACTCGAATGGCGTTTTAGACACGATCGTTTAATTCTGTAAATGTCAAGGTTTGTTTAAGTCTTTTAAAACTTTGACATGTGTTACTTTTATCCTACATTCCAGTGTAATAAATTAAAAAATTATGTGAAAATTAAAAAGACCAGAAAAGGTTGAGGCCAAAGTCAGCTTGGTCACTTGACTTCTCAAGAAGGCTCTCATACAATTTATCACATGCGGAACTAAATCTTTTATTTCTGCCTTTCACGGTTAAATCTTCGATGCCACTGAAAAGAACACAAACTCGCAGTCTAGAAAAGATCGCTGTACATCACTGATTTGTCCAAGTGTGAAAATTGAATCACTGTGACGTTCTTAATTAAAAAGAGGAGAATCGATCATTCATTGAAGAATTCGTTCGTATCCTATTTACTGTTTGCCAAAACTGATAACCTTTTGCAGTATCACGGATTGTATAATGGCGGTTGCCAGGTTACGCCGATCGTGAGACGTGATCGTGACACTTGTCGTGCTTGAAACCTGATATACAGGTCTTTTGTGTTTCGTCGCGTTGTAGCGCGTCAAACGGCGAGTGAAATTACTGGAATGTGCTTTCATTTACCTGGCGGAATTTCGTAAGGTAAGGTTTTGCAACAAAATAGTCTGCAGTAGTTAACTTTTCGAAGGATTCAGCTCCACGCGAAACATCCTGCGTAAGTATTCTTGTAGATATGACAGTGAGATGTATTAAAGCTCATGTAACTGGTATTACGCAACCACCTCTATTGTGCGTGTGATTCTAGCATACACAGGTAAGCCTGCCAACTGCGGCCTGCCTATACAATGACGGATTTTGTCTAGGAACAAGACAGTGGTTCCCGGGATGGTTTGGAAATGATCGCACTGTTGATCGCCCATCCGTGAAGGTCTTCTGGTTGCAGGGTGGACGGAATTCATGCTTGACATGGTGGGCCGGGGAAAATGTGGTGAACACTGGAAAGTAGGCAATTAGATCCAGGGAAGAGCACGTGTCCTGTGTTCAATAGTTTTTCTTTTTTGCAAAACCTGAAAAGGCTTTCCGCTTCTGCTCAAATTTGATAAAGGTTTTTACGCTGGAACGCGATCACGATCGTGGATCAACATAACATCACGTACGCTCTATCAGTTAATTTGCATAAAGCCTCAGAAATGTGTAAGCTTACGTTTCTGAGAAAATCTGACTAAAGATAGTGAACAACCATTCGTTCAATTCACGTAAGCTTACATTAGTCTGGTGACTATTTTTGCGCGCTTCGCAACGCTAAAATGCGCTCTCATGTTGACACCATGTACGTGTCATTCAAGGGCGTGTTGTGAAAATTTACACGCCGCGCCACTATTAGCTTAGACACGGAATATTTTCCAGTTGCGATAGACCAAGTGAATTTTAGACTTAAAATCCCCCCTCACATAAACATGTTACTAGTAAGTAATTCTTAGCTTTAGGTAAAGTGTCTTATATAATGTATATTTCNGGGGGGGAAGATAAGTCAGTAAGTTTCACTTGAAATCTACCTAAGTAATGATGTTATGATCTCTTTTGTAATTTACCGTAACCCCCACAGGACATGTAGGTTTTGTCAGGTTTAACCCTTCTCCCAATTATCCCATCTAGCTTTATACTTTCCTCTGGATGTTTGGTGTTCTAAATTCTCCCCACCCCTTTGCAATTTGGAATCTGCCATGGGTATTTTTTGTTTCACATGACAAACCCAGCCCCCTATTAGTCCAAAGCTTCTCCCAGTCTACATACCAAAGCTATTTATTTCCTAGCACTGACCATTTAGGGTAGTTTCAACATCATAATCGTCAAAAGCATGTGATAATCTGTCATTGGGTGTTCTCAAAGAATTTAAGTACAGTTCACTTGGGTACAATAATATGGTATTGTGTTTTTCCTGAAAATTTCTATAACCCCCACAGAGATGTTTTTGTTAACTTACCCCCTCCCCCCACCCCCTGGAAATGTCAGTTAAGTGTAGTGTCATGTTTTTTTATAGAAATGTTGTCATGTTAGAACCCAACTCCCCAAGAAACATTTCCCATGACCTTCTATGGGCTGGGTATGGATGCATGGAACTGCTCATTGCATTATGTCAATAGATAAGCCTGGAGGCTTATGTAACTTTAGCCCAACCTGTAAACATCACTTTAGACCTTGTTGTGCAGAAATAAAATTGTTGTTATATCTTGTGTTGTAGTTTTTATTCACTTTGTCCCATGTGGTGATTTATGTGTCTCACAGTGTCTTATAAAGTGTTTTACTTATTATAACTATTGTAAGGAAAAGACCAGCATAAGGCATCTTGCTATTCATGTACTTATTGCACTGAAGAACTTAAAATAATTAATGTCCTCTTTTAAAATCATAATACATTATATTATGATTTTAAAAGAGGGATTGTTTAATAAAAGATACTTTTATTTGATTCTCTTCCCCAGGGTTCATAGATAAGCAGCTCTATATTTTTCTCGGCTCAATAAGATAAAATGAAGCACAAAATGTGGAAAACAATTCTCCCAACAATTCTTGTGGTTTCTTGTCTGACATTCGCTCTGCTACAATTAAAGTGTGTGCCAGAATCTTCATCACATGCAAGGCGTGGCCATCCCCCTCCTCTACACAAAAGTGTCCACAAATACTCTGTTGAGATCCTTGGATGGGACTACCAGCCTGAAGAAAGGGTGGAGTCAAGGCTGATGAGGGATTCTGTCAAGTATGTCATGATGGTTCCCCATAAGTTGCCATCTTGGCATGAAGTTCATGGTCTGGCCAGCCTGGCATTGGAAGACCGAGAGGCATTACAGAAGCTGACAAAATTTCTTGATATACATGGAGATTATGATGCAGCCACTGTAACGACAACTAAGATGCAAGCAGGAAGATTCAGTGAAGCCAAAACATTGCTTGAACAGAGTGCTTGCAAATTTCAGGTAAACAACTGGACAATGATTATTCGCAACTTTGGACCAATTCATGATGATTCTGATGGTGATGGCAAAGATCTCAGATGGTACCAAGAATGCAACATTGCAGAAACAGCGTTTGTTCTCCGAAAAGAACTGTTTCTATCCTTAAGGTGGCGTGCAGAGTCTGGAAGTATGAGCCATCTTGATTTCTTCATAAGGTCGACTGGAACCCTGAAAATAGCCAAATTATCACACTGCCATTTCTCACATACACTCACATACTCTGATCGTGGCAGCCTGGAAGGCGGTCGAGATTTCATTGATTATTCAACTCTTGGACAACTCCACAGCATCTTACGCATTGTACGTCCAGACAAGATTGAATGGACCAAATGCACAGATGACAAGCAGTTCTGTCCTGAAAAACCTTTAATGTCCCGCCCAAACACACTGGCAGCAGCTGATGGCTTTCCGATCTGTTGTGATGTGNTGGAAGTATGAGCCATCTTGATTTCTTCGTAAGGTCGACTGGACGCCTAAAAATAGCCAAATTATCATACTGCTATTTGAGACATAAACTCACGTATTCTGATCGTGGCATCCTAGAAGGCAGTCGAGATTTCATTGATTATTCAACTCTTGGGCAATTGCACAGCATCTTACGCATTGTACGTCCAGACAAGGTTGAATGGACCAAATGCATAGATGACAAGCAGTTCTGTCCTGAGAAACCTTTAATGTCCCGCCCAAACACACTGGCAGCAGCTGATGGCTTTCCGATCTGTTGTGATGTGATCATGGACGACATCTTGGCTGCAACAGTGGATGCTATGAATCAAATTGGAATGGATTATCGCATTGTGTATGGTACGCTCCTTGGTGCAGTGAGAAGTCAGGCATTCATTCCGTACTCTGATGATGTCGATGTCGCAATTCACAAGGCCGACAATGACAGATATGACAACTTCTTGCTGATACAGCAGATCTTGGGTCCCAAGTACTTTGTGGCATGGAAAACAAATCCCCCTGTCTCCAGAGTTTATCCACACTATGCTCCAATGATTGCAGTAGATACTCAGCGGCATTTCAAAGATGATAGTCTTGAAAGCCCTTCTCTCTTCGACACCAAGATCCTCAAAGAAATGGAGAAACTATTGCCTGTGAAAAACATCCTACTGGAACAACGCTATGTTGATCTTTACCCCTCCCCTGAGGATTGGTTTGGCAAATCCACTGAAGTCACCATAAACAATCGACACTATCTTGGCCTGTCAGATAATGTAGACAAGTTCATTAGAAGTTGGTATGGAGATGATTACATGAAGATGAGACCTGAGCTACATTCTCAGACCACACTTCAGACAAACTAGCTCTTCGCGCTCGAGCTAACAAGTTTACAAGGCGCCAGAACGAACAAATTTTGTATTCGTCAGATATTCGCTAGCGTAATCAAAGACCTTCAATGATTACTGTCCAATGATAATACTGTTCAAAGAGAGCGACATGAGATGCATTATATCATGGGCTGCAGCTACGTCTGTTGCTAAGAAAAGGGATAGATGGAGGCAACGTATCTTTGGCCCCACTTGGGGGCAAGGAACAGAAGAGAAGATAAAACAGAACACTTGAACATTATGTCATGACTTTCACGTAACCTGGCAACCAGCCAAATGGCAATGGCTGGTTAAACCGTCGATTCTCATAGATAGGATTTCGACAAACACCAAACAAATGCAATTTTAGCTTGGTGAGAGGACACATTCGCTGAACATAAGTTGTAGTAAATAACTTAGCCCTTTTCGGGCCTTATGGCAAAGACGTTTCACAACAACTACTACTATAGAGCAGTTTAATGTAACTTCTTCTCCATGTTATCTGGTAATGGCTTCCAACTACCTACATTCATTTTTATCCAGTTTTTTTTAGTATTTCATGGTTTAGTTGCGTCGCAGTCTTGGACGAGAGCAGATGCAGATCTATCCTCCTTGGTTTAGTTCTCAAAGATACTTTAAAAAGAGTCCAAAGGATTTATTAATAGAGGATCTATTCTTTTATATGCGCACAGTTTTTTTAAACGCCTTCCAAAATTGAGCGGTTTTCATTGACAGCCGAAAACCAACATGACCAATCCCAAACCAATTATTACGAAATTCCAATCATGTGAAATGCAAATAACCCAGAGAACCTATCAGGATATGAAGCAAATACACGTGACAAACGCGCGAGAAATCACGTGACAAAACGCGCGAGACTGTTTAAGTCGCGATTAGTTTTACGTCTGGTTGGTCGAGTAGAGCACAGTGAAGCTAGACCATTTCCAGATGACTTTCCACACTTCGTCTCCTGGGTATTCTACACTTTTCGAAATGGCGGGCGAGAGAATACGGGTCCGACGAGCCTCCACTTTGAAAATCGTCCAAGAGAAGACCCAGGGGAAGAGATTGTTGAAAACCGCTCTACATTTGATTACATTCAAACGAGTATTACCCTCTGCTTTGAAATTCTATTTTTTCGTGATCGCAGTTCCGAAAGAGAGCCTCGTGAGCTACGATATTTCAATGCCAGTAGCTTTATTGTGTTCTATAATTCTAGTTCAAGTTTATTTACTTACATTTGCTTCTGCTGCAGTAAAATACTTTCAATTAACAGAGTAGTAAAAGCCAAAAAAAAAAAAAAAGAAAATTAAATTTTATAAGAAAGAAGTGGTTAGTCGCTGAGGAGCACTGAGTAGCTTCCGAGTTGGCCACTTCCACAGTCAAATTATTGAAGAAGAGAATATAATGTACAAAATAAGCTAAAATATATAAGGCATTGTTGTATCCTAAATAGTAAACGATATAGCTAATACGAAATTATGAGTAACCGATAGGAAGTGTAAATAAAACCATTAATGGAAGCATATATCTAACCGAATTCGCAAAAACATGCCCGCATTGACTCAAAGACAGTCCCAGCGGCCAGAAGTCCTCTGACCACCCCCCTGGCTAGGAGATTGGCNTTGTGGCATGGAAAACAAATCCCCCTGTCTCCAGAGTTTATCCACACTATGCTCCAATGATTGCAGTAGATACTCAGCGGCATTTCAAAGATGATAGTCTTGAAAGCCCTTCTCTCTTCGACACCAAGATCCTCAGAGAAATGGAGAAACTATTGCCTGTGAAGAACATTCTACTGGAACAACGCTATGTTGATCTTTACCCCTCCCCTGAGGATTGGTTTGGCAAATCCACTGAGGTCACCATAAACAATCGACACTATCTTGGCCTGTCAGATAATGTAGACAAGTTCATTAGAAGTTGGTACGGAGACGATTACATGAAGATGAGACCTGAGCTACATTCTCAGACCACACTTCAGACAAACTAGCTCCACTTGAAGGAACAGAATACTGTTTTCAATAAATCTTTGTAGTCGAAAAGCATTATTGATTCATATCATCCAATCAGAAAACAGTAAAACAGCTCAAAAACTGAACACCTGCCTTAAAATGGAATTTTGACCACAGAAAACTAGTACTCCTCCACTTGCTGCACAGGGTCCCCACTTCCTAGATAGCAGCCCAATATTATTATCCCTTGATGAAGGAACTCATTGTCACCTGAATCACCTCTGCCCAGTGGTACGAGTTCTGGTTGGAGTGTTGATGCCCCCAATCTACACTCTTCACGGTAAAGTAGTCCATTTGCTGAATCTCTGATCGTGCCATGGTACAGAACACTAGATAGCTTTGAAGTAACCTTGCAGTCCAGAGCAAGAGGTGGTGCAGACCAGATACTCCAGGCATGGTGCGAGATGTTTACTGAACATTAGTGAACTATTTGTTTAACTTTTCGCAGACAGAAATATTTTGGATAGAATACTATACAGTAATTGGAATTTATGGTCTTCAGTGAACTAGAAATATTTAATGATTGTATTAAATTTAGGACTTCCAAAACTTAAGTGACCAGTCAATTTTTTGAAATAATAAACCTGTTCTTTTTGTGGCCTCCCTACTTGACTTATTCAGGTATTCGTATTATGCTTAATTATTAAATTGAAAAATTAATATTTGGCACAAGATATATTTACTACTGCTGCAATTTTATATAAAGTTACAAGTTATGTTATTTGGAATGTATATAGTGTGACTGTAGTTCTTAATAGCTATTTCATTAACTGTTGCATTTCAGCACAGTGTATTGTGGCCAAGGGCCTTCTCTGCTTCATTAAAGCAGTTATTCCATCACCTTAACCTTCTTATGACACCTGCAACAGACATTATGGTTTCAATTGAGAACACTGAGTGTGGAATCTGTATTAGAAGTAACCATGACTACAGTCTATGTTAGTTACCACGCTCATAACTATTGTTTATTGAATTGTATTTTTCATTCCCGTAGTTTAGAAAATATTAATAAAATGTTCAAGTTGAAATGTTTTTTGCAAGTTTTCATTGTTTAACTTTTAAAGAATTCAGGGTAATTTAAATGGATAATTTGTAGTGGCCTACTGAAAAACACTGACTAGAGGTGAGTAGGCTCCCTGGATAACTGTTATTGCTACAGTAATTTTTAATATAATTACTACAGTCTATGAAATTTTTGGAACAGCATGGTATCAATTGCATTTTGCAATTGACTGTCAAAAGTAATGTAAAGTAATCAATTTGAAAAACTTCCAAAAAGTGCTTAACTATGCAGAACAGCCAAGTTGTGTTGTTTGGAACCAGTCAGGATGAAATACCAAAGCATGTTTTCCTTTACTTACTGCCAGTTGCATATTTGTGTCAACTTCGTATTGCTTACATTACATTTTGTTGTAATTGGGCAGGTGTGATTATTTTGGTTTAATGACAGCCATCACAAAATTGTATGCTTTAGGGAATGTTGAACTACTTAACTTGCCAAAAATGGGAAGTTTGACTGCATTTCAATCATTTTCCCAATTTTCAGTTTGAAGAATCTCATGTTTTCAAGAGAAACATTTTTCTGAGGGGACTGAATGATGAAAAATGATCAATTGGTCAGAAACAAACACCAAGCCATAAATATCTTGTCAGTTTGCTTGCAGTTTATTTACCACAAACAAAATTGTTACATATCAAAAATTAAAATTATCACCTTGAGCAACTCTTACACTTCTTTCATACTCTCCAAACTTCCCGCGTGCATCCACAACTCGATATACGCATGCTAAGCATGAACCAATTCTTTAAGTGATGATGGCCTACATTTAGTTGATGGTTAGTTTTAACTGAAAGTTACAAAATGAGGGGAGGATCACAATAATAATAATAATAATAATAATAATAATAATAATAATAATAATAATAATAATAATAATAATAATAAATGAAATATTAAATGCCCTGAGAAATGTAAAAATCTGTCATTCCTGGTTCACTAGTCATCTTGAGGCACTAGAATAAGAAAGAAAAAAAATAACCCAACTTAAAAAAGCATGTTTCTACTGATTGTCATTAAACCAAAGCCAAGGTAAACACATCTGAACAACCACAGCAGAAACATTGAAAAGGCCCTATTAGGGTAAAATTCTGATGGGCAACATGTCATTGAGACAGCATCGTGGAGGCAGACAAAAGGATGAAAAATGACATGACTTGTGATGAAATTCACAAGCAGCACATAAATCACCCTACTGACAGGGCCTCATAATGCAAATAATGCAATGAGCCAATCAGATATTGACTTAAAATATGCAACTGGACAACTGTTTTTTTTCCCCTGAATGGTTAAAAAGTTGGGATACACATGGAGTACCCTGTTAATAATGTACACTATATTATATGTGACAGTACACCATCTGTACCTCTTTGGCCAGGCTTGTAATAGAAACAATAACTGTCATTGTCATTATCATGACATAACAAGTGCTGCAAAAGATGTTAGCTTGGGAAGTTTGAGAGTTGTTTTGTCAGGCAACTACAAAGCTGAAAGGCTCATTCACCTTGAAGACATTTGTATGCAAAAGCGTCACTTGTACGTTTTAATTTTTTTTTCAGAATTGATTAATGAGGCTCTCTTTCATCAAGTTTCTATTACTAGAGACTGAAGTGAACTGGGGTCCCCTAAATCCATGTGGCCACTGTATGTACCTTGAAGGCTTAGGAAGTTATGTCAATGAAAGCTTGACTAATTAAAGAAAGAATATCAATATCTTACGTCAATGAGCCACAACCTAGACATTGTTCAGCAATTACAACACTCAGACTTTTCAATTTAATATGACATGCAGTGCTTCTATTTTTCTGTTGTCAAAACCTGTGGACTAAACTAATAATAGGCAGCCAGGCAGTTAGAACACATTGTTTTTGTTATTGTGTTTCTTACCTTCTCATTTGCCAGGTGAAGGATGCAGACGAAGGCAATGGACACTGACAAGTTCTTTGCCATGTTCTTGGAAAGTTTTCCAGGTAACTGAGCATAAATTTCTTTGAATGAGTGAGGAGTGGTCACAGTGCTATTGTCTGTTTGTTTTCCCTGCTGATCTATGGCAACATTTTCCTATAAGATGTGTAAACAAAGAGAAAATAATCAAGAAATATGGGACTGTTTAGTGGACAGTCTGAACAAATCTGAAGCTATACCATGTCAAATCAACTCAGTATTACTTCGGTATAAAAACATCGAGGGGGCATTGCCATGCCAAGTCAATATTACCTATTAAAAGTACAACAAAGAGGTACCAATCACAAAACATTGGCATGGAATGTTGTTTGGTTTGGCTTGGACTGGTTGGAATTAGGACTGATTCAGTCTGAAGAAAATAAAAGCCAGCTATTTTAAAGAGCTATATGTAGAGATAAAATTAAATAGGCAGCAGTATGGCTTTTAGCATGTTTTCTTACAGGACGTTTTCCAAAACAAGTAAGTTGCTCTCTAGAGATAGACAAAATGAATAGATATAACAAAATAATTTATTAGAAATAGTGGAAGTTTTACATGTGTAAAAGTTTGGAGCAGAACTTTTAGAACAACCTTTGGTAAGCTACATGTAGTCAGAAAGAATATCAACAAACCTTGTTCCCTTCACCATTTTCAGTTAGCAGTCCCCACATGGCTCCCTTCAGCTTTTTTACATCCATCTTTTTGGCAGTTTTGGCATAGCCAATATCAATTTTTTGAACCTGCCAACAAATTAAGTCAATCTTGTGTTTAAAGACAAATGGTACAAGTTTGAGTTCATGACGTGTACTTCAATACTAATTTTTGCTCTGTTGCAACACAATTTCCTCTGTTCATTTAATTTACTGCTCCAAATTTTAAACTAATGAGTGAATTATTTTTCTCAGAAAAACTGTGCTTCTTTCAAACTTGTGACTTCTTTTCATTATGTTGCGTTATTTACCTAAAAGGGAACATAACATGACTGAAAATTCAAAATCTAGGACAAACTGTCATTGATAGACAATGGGCCACGAATACGTAAGGTTTTGATGTCAAATTGAAAAAATCTGGCACACTTTTTGAAATTCTGTAGTTTTCTTGGAAAATATTGCTTAAATTTAATTTCAGTTTGCTCTCCCTTCAACAATTCACTTGATGTCTTCATCTTAGTGTTCCAGAAGCATTTCATGAACAAGCAAAGATAATCATCATTTTAGCACTGTTTTGACTAAAAATACAGCAAAATTGATGTGATTTTTAAAAATCTTCTTCTTGCTTGTCTGCACATGAGCCTGTTCTTTCCTAAGTCGATTAAGTTAACTTTTAAATATTACAGTCACCCAGAACAGGAAATTCGGTTAGCAGGCACGTACCACATCTAACAGCTATGAACTTGTTGCAAATTTGAAAAATTTCCTACTTTTTCAGAAATTTACTTAGATTTCAACACTTTTTCCAGGCTTGGAAAGCCAGTCAGTGATTGTTTCGCATACAGGATGAGCACTGGGAGCTAAATCACACCTTA